CCCTTGAGCATTTATTGGCAGTACTATAGGAGCTTTGTAACATTTCCCTGAGCAGGGCAGAGGCTAAGGTCCCACTTGGCTGAGAGGCCAAGTACCAGAGGTGTGCTAGCTGCCATGGCTGAGAAGAGGTGCTCCTGACCAAAAGAATGGTATACTGAGCATTTCTAATACTGAATTGTAACCTGTTAACTTTCCCATTAAACCCCTTAACTGTGAGTATGGTCTCTGAGTTCTGTGTGGCCATTGCAATGAATTCATGAACCCAGCAGAGGTGTAGATAAATAACCGACTTTACAATGCGCTCTGTCTGATAACAAAGCTATTCACATCCCTCAATTATGGTCAGAGGGGATTCACCCAGCAAATGGATTCTGGGCTCCCACTGTCACCCGCAGCGTTCTGCAGACCAGGTGCACAATTTAAGCTCTAATACCATTTCCTCCTTCAGGTTTGGATTTTATTATTTACAATCCTTGGACTTGAGATAGCACACAGGCTGGTATGCTTCTTCCATGTAGACTTAGTTGATGTTTCACTAATCTTGAATTTGATTCTCATTTCCCCTTGTGAAGTCAGAGGAGGTCAGACACAGCCCCCACACTATTCCTACAGTATATTTGTATTTCTACTTTTATATCTGTACTTTGTATTTGTACTGTATTTGTACTTTTATACCTTGAAAATTATAAACCTAAACATTTTTTTATTGTGCATGAAGCAGAGATATTTAAAAACAAGTGACAACAAAAAACTTCTGCATAAGTTCTAGTATCAAGTTCTAGCAATGAAAAAAAATTGAAATATTTACTCTTCTTCTTAGCAAGGTAAATCAGGAATAAAGAATGCCATTTCATTTCTTTTCTCCTAGATCTTGACAATACTCTTTAATTTCTGCTGATAAAGGAACTCATACTTTATAGGTAGTCCCCGATTTGCAGCATATTTGAGTCACCATGAAGTGTACTTATGACTATCTATTTTTTTCATACATCTTACCATTAGAAATTTGTTCTACATGCAATGTTGCACAGCATATTTACTAATATTATCATTCTCTGATGTAATATTTGCAACCCCCAAGGACAAATAAAGATCAGATTTACAAAAACACTGATAATAAAAGACATTAATAATGAAATGAGGTATTCCATTTATAGAACAGTTGTCAGAATGGAGCCCTGTTCCAAGTTAGGGACTGCCGGTACAGTCTTCTGAGGCCTTTAAAATACAATGTAAGGCAATTTTGTTATCATATGAAAAGCAAATTTTAAAATAAGTAAAAAGAGAGCTCATAGAACAATAAGTTATAAGACTAAAAAAATCAAACAAAAACAAAACAACCCACAACATTACCAATAAAAAAAATTTTTTTTAAAGAGGTTAATGAAAACTATTGATTTCCCTTTTAAATAATTTTGGTCAACTAATAAGCAACCTTATAAATAAATATATCTAATAAACATTTGCAATAACATATAAAAGTTTTCATCTGAAGTAACAGAAAAACTTGCACAAACTTGTACACATACAGAGAAAAATACAAAATTTTTAAAGTTATTGAGAGGTACCATGTGGTAGCTAAAGAAGGCTGTGGTACTTTCCAAGAGTTACTGTTTGAATACAACAGTTTAAGAACTGCTAATGATAAGAAAGAGTCCCTGGATGGTGCAAATGGTTAAGTGTTTGGCTACTCACTGAAAGGTTAGCAGTTTGAATCCACCTGGTAGTACCTCTAAATTCAGGCCAGGGCATTTGCTTCTAAGAGGCCTCAGCCTTAAAACCCTATCGAACAGTTCTATTTCGCACATGTTGGGTTACCATGAGTCAGAATCAACTTGATGGCAACTATCAATATAACAACAAAAGTGAAAAATGAAATGTTGTATTTAGCAAGTAAAATTTATCTAAATTAGCTATTATTCTTTGAAAAGAAACATACTTCAAAGAATTAACATTTTCAAAGACAAAAAAATTTTGTGATCTAGTCAAATGTACCATCTGCAGACCTATAGAAAAGGACAGTTGGTAAAAATTTAACAAAAAATATGAAGAAAAGCCTACAAAGTAACAATAGTTGATCTGCACTCACAGATTCCATACTGAAAATTTGCTTACTGCTGAGATGTTAAGTGTTTACAACCCCAAAATTATACAGCACCACTGTAGTAATTTATAGACATATGATAGGGTACCCCCAAACTGGAATTCCGCCCCCCAAAGCTATGTATTAAAAAAATTTTTTACAAAACAACCTTATCACCTTCAAAGACTCTACATTACATTTAATACATTTGTCAAATCTGTGATTACATTCTTGGAAATATTTTTCAAACTCTTTTGTTTGAATGGCTGACAGCACCTCCCGTATTTTTTTCCTTTACCTCCTCTACATTGATAAATCGCTGTCCTTACATGTCCCTCTTCATTCACAAAACAAAAAGAAGTCACAAGGAGAGGGGTCAGGTGAGTAAGATGTGTGGAGCAAGAGAGGCATTTTGTTTTTTGCCAAAAACCAGCGCACTGAGATGGCTGCCTGAACAGGAGCATGGTTGTGGTAGCAAGTTCTCCGTCTGCCACAAATCAGGCCTTTTTTTTTTTTTGCACACTGTTACACAATGTTTTCAGAACCTCTAATAGAAAGCTTGAATAACAGTCTAACCTGGTAGAACAATATTCAAATGCACTACAAGTCAACATTTTCTTCTGTTTGTGAAGTTGACGGAAGTCTAGAGCAAGGATTGTTATCAATTGACATTTCACCTTTTTTGAAACAATAAAAACACTCATAATACTTGAATTTTCCACAGAGCACTGTTCTTGTAAGTTATACTCAACATCGCAAGTTTCTGTGGGATTTTTCCTGAGCAGGAAACAAAATTTCACAGCTGCACGCTGTTCTCCTAAATTGGCCATTACCAAAAAAAACAATGAGGTTTTAACGAAACCTTTTATGAAAAAAATTCACTATGATTATAGAGAATCTTTCCAGGAGATGCCACTGGGTGCACTAACTCAGATCGAGTTGCTTGATGCTCGAGAGTGGGAAAAATGCACACGAAAAAAGCTCTGTCCAGTGGGGCTTTTTCCATTTGGGGGGAAGTAGTAGACCTGTGGAAAATGTGAGTCTTTTGAAAAGCACATTCCCAGCTATGATTGAACAAAGAGATGCTATGCCTTCTTAATTTAGCTCTCAGGTTGCACAAAAAGTCCTTTTCATGGCATACTTAGTGTGGTTTGTTTTTGGCTTTTTTGTTGGTGTTCTTGCTATTCCAAATGTCCCCAAAGCCCAGTACTGAAGAGCTGTCTAGTGTCCCTAAGTGCAAGAAGGTCATCATGTGCCTTACAGAGCAATTAAGTATATTAGATAAATTTTGTTCAGACATAAATATAGTAAGTACCATGAGCAAATCCACAAGTTCAAAGTTAATGAATCAACAATACATATTAAATAAAGTACCTCTAAACAGAAACAAACACAATTATGCATTGATTGGCTAGTGAGCCTAACCCTGTATTTCCACTAGGAGTCATAGTCAATATTCGTTAAATTTGTATTTACTGAGAATTTCTAGAACATTAACCGGCTGATTCTGACTCTTGAAACCCTGTGAGAGAGTAGAATTATGCTCCATAGGGTTTCCAGTGGGCGAGTGTTCAGAAGTAGATTTACCAGGTCATTCTTCTAAAGCCTCTTTGGGTGAAGCCAAGCTTCCCCCCTTTTGGTTATCAATTGAGCATTTTAATGGTTTGTACCACTCAGGGACTCCATTATAGATTGGGGAACTACATGAATAAAAAAATTTATTGTATGTTAAGCACACCCCAAATTCTAAAATCATTTAAAGTTACGAGGAGTTTTTTTTCCTAGTCATAATTTCCTTTATATCCCAGCCAACGGGTAATTGAGAGAGAGAGAGTGTGTGTGTGAGTGTGTGTGTGTGTGTATGAGTGGAAACTGTATGTGTATGATTTATCTCCACATTTAGCTACAGATACCTAAACATAAAATCTCATTAGAGAAAAGAAAAGCAACTTAAATTAAACCATTCTATTACAGTCTGTGACAAAAAAGAAAGATATAAAATTTTTGAACCTGTAAGAGACATTTGCAATCACTGTCAAAAGGCATCCTATAAGAGAACAGGTAAAGGATGAAAAATACAAACAGGATATGACTTAGACAGAATGAGAATATGGAGTAGTGCCTCTGGATTTCCTAGCCTCAATTATTTGTATACAACAATGGGTCACAAACTAAATAATGAATTATTTTTCTTACTAAAGTGGATAAGTAGTATTGTCCATTGGGTTGAAATTTTCATATTCCCTATTTTATTTTTCAAGGATAAGAAAACAATATTAAAAAGAAAGAAAGAAAACAGTATTCTCACCATTACCACAGACCGAAGATAATCACTACTCTGAGACACAAAAGACAATATTAATCAACTTTCAGTCCAGTCTCTCCTACTGTTTCTCTCTGAAGTGTTCTAAAAAATTTCTAAATGAAATAGTAATAATTTATACATAAAGTATTTTCACTTTACCTTACTTTTAAAAATAATGTTCTTGAGGCCATAAAGGAAAACAACTAGATTTCAAGTCTGTATTAAAAAGTACAGGGTAGAACGACACATATTCTTGTTCATAAACAACAGCTAATGGAACAGTTGTTTCATTTTCTCCTTTTTCCTCTTCTCTCCAAAACTAATTAGCATTATAAACAGTATGTTCCTTGTTACAAATGCCTTCTTTCAATGTTGGAACTATAATATCTTTTGACAATCCAAAACTCTGATCTAGATTTGTTTGTGTGTTTTTTCTAAGTATATAGAAGCCAAGCACTTTTTATAACACTTCACACTATATTAAAAAAAAAGTTACTTTAATAAAATGGAAATAAGTATCAAGCATGGATGTTTCATGTATACTATTCTTACTTTGTAAATCATTATCATCTTAAAAATAAATTATTTTTAAGTACCTTTTTACATACTTACTGCTGAAAGGCTGTCATTGTGTTCTCCAAATTTTCTCCAGCACCTATAAAAATATTAAACTTCATTTACTTAGCTATTCTGAACATTTTATTTTAGTAAGAAATTCAGTAAGATACATCTAGTGGATTCTGATACCCAGGTGCTTATTATGTATTGGATAGTTTGGTAGTTACATAATCTGGTGTCAACTTGAGACTATTAAGAGGGAAGAGGTGGAGTTTAGGCTGTCAATCGGGTTGCAGCTTGATGACCTCATTTGGAGGCACAATGGAGATAAGTAGCTCACTAGAGGCCAGACACACACCCACTGCGAGACATTCCTGTTGACAAGCCACATGGAGCTATACTGATGGAACCAGAGTCCTAAAGCTGGAAGAGCCACATAGAGATCCATGCCAGCACTGAGATGCTTCCACTGCCACTGGATCCACAAGACTTTCCATCCCCTGGCCTGTGATTTTCCTGCATTGAGCATTATTGCACAGCTGCATGAGTCTGAAGAAGAATTTATAGACTGGTATCAGACATATGGGCTAATATCAGACTTATAGACTTGATCTGGACTGGGCTGGGACGTTTTCTTAATATACAATTACTCTGTAATAAAGTTCTCTATTACACACATATGAGTGTCTCTGAATTTGTTTCTCTAGTTAACTTAGACTGACACAGATACACATTAAAATAAAAGTGTTTTAAAGAATGTGATGGTATTTTGATTTTTTTCCCTTTTCCTTTTAATCAACAACAGGAAGAATCAAAGATCAAAAAATAGTCACAGATTAAGGAGGGGGTGGTTAGGAGACCTAAGTATGATTTTTTTTAATCTACACTACCTGATTATTTATCATAAAGACTTGGTACACACATACACATGCATACATGCACACACACACACCCTCAAAGAATTAAAACAATCTCTCCTCTGCATTCCCACAGTATCTTGTGCATACCTCTACTAGCTTACTATAGTTACAGTGCTGGTGAAGAATACTAAAAGTACCACGGGCCGCCAAAAGAATAAACAAAGCTTTCTGACAGGAAATACAGCCAGAATGTTCCTTAGAAGAAGCAAGAATGACAAAACTTTGGAGATGTTATCAAGGATATCATGGTTGGTAAAGTGGAGGGGCAGCAAAAGCAAGGAAGACCCTTCAGATGGATTGACACAATGGCTGAAAGGATGGGCTCAAGCACAAGTGTGAGGAGGGTGCAGGACCAAGTGGTGTTTTGTTGTACAACCCTCATGGGATCATTATGAGTAGAACCAACTCGATGACACCCAACCACAAACTATAGCATTATTACATTACAGCACAAATTATGTACTTGCTTCCTTCATCCCATACATTCCTTGAAAGTAGCCAGTGTTTTAGTCACCTCTGCCTACAGGCCGAGTGAAATGGTTACAGGTAGGACTCTGGACTCAGGATGCCTGGTCTCATATCTACATGCTGCCTATGTGACCTTGGGCAAGTTATCTCTCTGTGGTTGAGCTTCTTTATCTAGATGAGTGAGGATAATGATAGTAGCTATCAGGTAGGCCTGGATAATGCAAATGGCTTAACTCAAAGTACCATGCTTCATCATCTAAATAATTGCTACCTGTTGAACATTTCTTAATCAGGGAGTATTTTACAATGAATGGTGCATCATAGTTTAATTGGCTATATTTTCTCTATCTTGATAGTACACAGAAAATTGTGTCTTCTCATACATGGTATTAGATTCAATGGAATACTGCAGTGAGCAATGAGCATTAAGGATTATTATTACTGCTGCCGTTCCTATAGTACTAGGTAAAGAGTAGGTATTTTGTGAACATTCACTGAACATAGTAATAATACTGTAATAAAAATCGTACAGCTCTAGATGTGATAATACTGAATGATAAAATTACCTAATACTATAGACTAGATGAAAGCATCGGTAGCTGACTCACCACAAGGGAGACCTGGTTAGATTGACAGCCAGTGCACCTCATGTGCAGCCACTACCCACCTGTTAGTGGAGGTCTGCATGATGCTATGGTGCTAATTAGGTTTCAGTGGAGTTTACAGACTAAAAAAGTCTAGGCAGAATGGCCTGACAATCTATTTCTGAGAATCAGCCAATGAAAACCCTGTAGATCACAAAGCAACTGATGATGGGATGGTGTGGGACTGAGTGGTGTTTCACTCAGCTGTGTACTGGGACACATTATCTTCCACCACTGCTGTTCCACCGAGTGAAGGAAAACACTACTCTTGTCCTTAGCAACGGAAGAAAATGGAAGGAATGCTTCTCACCTTACCATTCTCTACTCCCTATTGGGCCTGAAATGACCTAAGAGGGTTTGTGATTTAACTCTCTGCGGTCCTTTTAATTTGGAATAGCTCACCCTCAGAAGGAACAAATTTACTGCTCAGCTTGCCAGGGCAGGCCTTGCCAATGTAAGGAAAGGCTTCCAGTTTTAGAGTTAAGAACAATCTAGGAATGACATTAGAGAGTCTAAATTTAGCACCACTGGTATTAAAGCTGCTATTTTGACTATTCCATGCCCACGTTTTATTTGTAGATTGGTTTCCAACTTGGGAAAGGTCTATAAGCAGTATTGTTTTCTATCCTTCTCAAGTTCCAAGGGCAAGGGCTCTATCTTATACATCTCTTATCACTCCATGAAAGAGTGATCAGAGCACCCAATAAAATTATTCTTAAAAGGGGGGGGGAGTTGATACCAAGGGCTCAAAAGAATGTAATTGTCTAAAAAAGAAAGATGGCAACATATGTATAAATATGCCTGATACAACTGATATACGGATTGTAATAAGAATTGTAAGAGCCCTCAATAAAATGATCCAAAAAAAAGAGAGAGAAAAAAAAGAAAAAGTTATCAGTTAGAAAGTTTGAAATGACACAGGGAGCTACATATAACCTACTCTCTGGGGGACGGGCAGCAGAAGGGTGGGTGAAGGGAGACGCTGGACAGTGTAATATAAGATACAATAATAATTTATAAATTATTAAGGGTGCATGGGGGAGAGGGAAGGAGGAAGGGAAGGGGAGGGGGAAAAAAAAGGAAAATGAGCTGATTCCGGGAACCCAAGAGGCAAGCGAATTTTGGGAATAATGAGGGCAACAAATGTATAGATGTGTTTTATACAATTGATCTATGTATTGTGATGAATTGTATGAGCCCCAATAAATTGATTAAAAAAAAAAAAAGAAAGTTTGAAATGATAGTTTATCTGAAGTATGTTTCACAATAATCTTAGGATTGATTGGTCATGAGTCAATAATTGTTTGCAGCTGGATGTTAGGTCTTAGAACTTCCATATATGTTTGAAATGTACCATAATAAGAAATTCAAAAGATAGTTTTTGTTTGATCTTTTACACTAATACAAAGAAATGAGAGAAAAAAGATAGAAATTCACCACTAATATCTATATTCAGAGTCTGCCTAACATTTTATACCTTTTCTGTCTGTATTATATATTTTAATTGTAATGCATTTAAACCGAATGGCTTAAACATATAAACATCATTACTTAAAATCTGTCATCTGTTTTATAAGGTTGGTATAGAGCCACCACTAAATAGAATAAAAATGAAAAAGGTGGTCAAGTTATTGACAACTAATATGAGCCAGAGAGTATGATTAGCATTCCCTATATTATTTCATTATCAAAAGTCTCATCACATTATGAAGTCCTATTTTCCCAAGATCAAATTTGGCTTACACAGGTCACAAAGCCAATATGGAGAACTGGGTCTCAAGCACAAGCAGTGTGACTTGAGAGTCCACTTCAGTTTTTGACCAGTAAATACGCAATAGTTCTGCTATGGTATCATCTACCTGTGACCTTTATTTCAGCCTTACAGATAAGGCTTACATTGGGTCCTGACTTCATATCTATCTCCTACTGTTCATATAAAGCTTGAAGATAAATTTCACAAGGATAATAACTGCAAATTACTTGTTCGATTCATATGGCGAACACCTAGAGAGGAGCTAAGGGACTAATTAAGAATTATGTCATTCCTCCCAAAGGAATTACTTGGTGGTAGCTCTTCTCTCGTGGGATAGTTTGAATTCTCTTGCTCTCTAATTATAACATCATTCATAAAACCAGGTTTTTTCTTAATCCCACCACCTTTCCTAAGCAGCTTAAATAATGTCTGACTTATGGAAATAGCCATCCCACATTCACACAAAAGTCTCATTTTTAATTAGTATTGTGTTAGTCTGGGTAAACTAGGGAAACAAATCCACAGAAACTCATATGTATAAGAGAGAGTTTGTATAAAGGGTAAGTGTACCTTAAGAAAGCATCCCAACCCAGTGCTGTCCAAGCCCTTAAGTCCAACATTAGCCCATATGTCCAACACCAATCTACAAAGTCCTCCTCAATCTCACAAAACACATGCAATGATGCCGAATGCAGAAGGAAAGCCGAATCAGTGAGCATGTAGGCATCTCAGCGCTGGCAGGGGTCTCCACATGGCTGCTCCGGCACCCAGGGCTACATCAGGGTAGGTCCATGTGGCTTCTCCTCAGGGATGTCTTGCAGGAAGTGAGCCTTGCCAGCTGAAGCAGGGAACTGCTAAGGCAGCTGCACCCTGGTCTGACCATCAGAAAGCAAGAGACCCAAGAACTAGAAAGGCGAGGCTCACCGAGCCATTTATCTCTCTGCCCTTCAATTAATCCCACATGTGTTTATCAGCCAGGTTGGCACAATAAACCTATCTCAAGTATGAAATATATGGAGAGGAAGGTCCTAGTGTAGACTTTCCATACTGTCCTACTATAATTATCTTATAGTTTCTCTGCATATCTCTTTCTATCTCACCAGTTTTCATTTTTCACTTCACAAAAGCCTCTGAATATATCCAGTTCATTTTATTTATTCCTTCATTATATATTCTCCCAGTTTTGATTTTACAATAGCGTTTTCTTCTTTTCATAGTCATTCGTAATGAATTTGTAATTGATTAGTTTCTTGTAGAGTAGGAAATGTAAGCGAAACATCCTCTTTTATATCTTTAACTAGATTAAAT